TCGGATGCTCGCGTCCTTCGAAGTGCCAGTTTTAGGCAAATTTAGAGTGTCCTTCAAAATTGGCGCGCTGAAATTCATTTCCGGGTCACTACCGGAGGACCGAGGAGTCGAGGAGGGGAAATTTGAGTATTGAGAAACCTCTTGTGTGTGTTTGCATGTCGGTTTTGCAGGAAAATTAAAGGTAAGGTATGTAAGTTTGTGAAACCGGCTCGAGATACACGTTTTGTTATATTCCATGGAATGCTCTTAACATCCCGATAGCAATGTATATCTTAAGTGCTTTGACAAAAAATCCATTCAAAAAAAATTCATTTTGCGGAAACCGTACTAATGTAAAAAGCACGACCAATCATTTTAGCCGGCCCGGCTAAAATAACTGGATGGCCTACCTGCCTGTCAGCCTTCTATCTGTGCACAAACTTATCTCGTGCCCTCATTGGTCATGTGCGCGTTCGTGTGAGTTGGAGGAGGGGCTCTATAAGGAAGTGGCAGATTTTCTCCGGTCGTGTGTTTTCAAATTCTAGCGATCTCGAGCCGGTTTCTCAAATTTACATACCCTACCTTTAAACGTAAATATAATGTAAATACATCTAATATATTCCCTTGAAGAATAATGGGGTATTGCCATACACTGTATATATAGCAGGGTATTATACGTTACGGTCCCAGCACCACATTCTTAAATATCATACACTTGAATTAAGTCAAATAACATAGCATGACATCCCATACTATATCATATATTTAATGTATTATCAGCAATAGTGTAATATTGACGGTTACTTCATTTGAGTATTTGAATTCATTTAAATCTAGGATGAAGTTGTAAATGAGACCATGTTTGGTTGCAAAGATTCAATTGACATATATATAAATATGTCACATACCATAGACTAGAACCATTTAATGGTATAGCTAAAATAAATGGTAGGTAATATAATGGAGGAAGCAGTCATCTCTGAAGTTGTACAGATATTTTTCTTTTGACAATGTTGGAAAGCCCCGCATGAAGCAGGGCATCAAAAAATTAGTTATAACTCTTATTGGTCCTCTCCACGGAAATCTTTAGTAAAAGGCGAAAGATTTATGCGATCTGAAGAGAACCAAGAGTGATCTGCCGTTTGAACAGTTTGGCAGCGAGTATATTCACGAGAAAACCACTTTAAGTGCTGGTGTTGTATTGTGAAGTCAGCTTTTGGAGAAATATAATCCATATAATGAATGAATAAAGACAATCTGAGAAACACAATTACCTTGGGTTTTCAATTTAAAAGAAACCCACGTGTATTTGGCATTAGTTAGACTCTTATGCCATGTCGCAATGCATGATGGGATTTCGGTTTAAGTTTTGGAAACAGCCGCCGATTCACACTACACGCACACACACACACACACACACACACACACACACACACACACACACACACACACACACACACACACACACACACACACACACACACACACACACACACACACACAGCTTGTTATTCTTGATGCAGCTGGAAGCCGGAGCTCTGTTCTGTGTTAGGCTGGCTGAACGTGGGCCCTGAACTGGTTAGCTTTCAGTCTCAGGCTCGGTGTCTAGCGACTGCAGCATTATCAGTGTCATTCTGTCTGTTCTGCTCCAGTGAACAAGTCAGTCCTCATGAGGCTTATGTAAAGTCCGGCTTGTGCTCAGACCTCAGTACTTGTGTAATTTGTGTTGGCTCATGGAGAGATTACCAGTGTTGTTACATGAAATAAATAACACCAAGACCGTCTTTTTAGCTTTCTTTTTCCATGTGCAGAGAATTTATGAGCAGCCTTAGGCTTGTGTGACATGGTCAGTAACACATTTGGCCAGTAGCTTAAGCCTTGTTCATAAACAGAATCACCCCCGGCAAAATGAAATGACAGGCCTGCAAAGAAGTAGAAGTAGGCAATCACCTGGACATGGATGGATTTAGTTTTTGGAGCAAAGGTTATGAAAGTTCAGTGTGCAGCACAGTACAAAACTACCCCAAAAGTCTGAAACCACTTTATTTCACAAGTTTATGTATAAACATCTGTGTGCTCACTTGGATCACGAACTTCGAACATCTTTTCATAGATGTGTTTTGTTACAAGGTTGATATGCAACTCTTTTTCTCTGTTGGTTCATCTGCACGTGTGTGTAGTCTTTTTCTGTGCCCCTAACTCGCTACACAAGTGCAGCCCTCACCTCACTGCTGCGTTCCCACACACCCTCTGGCTGGCCCCTCTGACTGCGTTCGGTAATGTCTGTCTGCAATCGCTCGCCTCAATCCACTTGGAAAACTGGCTGATCTGAGTGCAGGCTGCTGTTACTCAGCTGTGCATCTGCTCCGCTCGCTCCCATGCGTACGGTTTATTTATCTGTGTTGTGTTATGGAGAAGCCAGAACTGTGATATCAGTCCGATACTCCCCAGCTATTACTGCTGTCCGCCTTCCAAACCATCATCGAGCACTTACGATGGACAATCTGTGTTTTCTCTCGGCTATTCATTCCATCATGTCTGCTGGATCTCAAGCAATTTTCTTGCGTATTTCTCAGTTTTATACGAGAAATATGCAAGAAAGTGCGCCAAAGTGTTTCTATTGACTATTTGTCCCTGAAGAATTATGAAAGTGATGACAGATGGAGTCAAAGGACAGATGAAGAAATTGTTATAGGTTGTGAAAATAACTTCTGGCCATTGGAAAATAACAATTTGTATTAATAACAATCTGCTTTTAATAACAATACACCAATTTGACCTATTAAATACTAATTTGGTGATTTTATTGAAACAGACGAGTTTGTCTCATCCATCTTAGCAGTTTAAAATGTATACTTTTTAAATACACTCCTCAATGGAAGCCAGTTTTGGCTTTTCACAAACAAATTGATATATTTAGCTTTAATACATAATCGATAGACTGTGCAGACAATAAACACATATCGCTTTCTCATAATTTCAGACCTGGTATTTATGACTGTAGTTGAACTCCCTCTGGGTATTGGCAACATTTGGCCTGAATCGCAAAAGGGAAAACTTAGTTTTTGAATACACCCTTGTATTGCTCTTTGTCTCAGTTAATCCTTAAGCCAAGTTTGAGTAATATGTTGATCCCAGAAAGAAACGTAATGTTCATTGCAACAGCTTATGGCGGTCTTAACCAGCCGATAATTGTCCTGTGGTAATTTTCCCTTTTTTAATGATACACATCTGTGCTGTATCAGGTCCTAAACATGTCATCACTTTCATTGTAACCCTGACAACAGGGTATATAATGAAACCGTTTCCAATACAGGATCAAACGGCCCAAGTCACTGGAAATAATTTCAACACTCTACCATACAAAAAATAATTATAGTAATTTGTTTTATATGCAATTTTGCTCTGTTCAAGTTTCCAGCGAACAGACCCTGCATTAAATTCAGTGCTTCTGTGAGGTATTATGTTGTCATGGCTCTGCTTTTAAAAAAAAAAAAAACTGGGCCTGTCCATGTTTTCACTGTTTGTCATTGTGCCGCTGTTATTTTAAATCATACCACAGAAGTTATTCAAGGGGTCATCAGCTGTTTGGGTTGGCTGTCTGGTGATTTTTTTCCTGCCGCTAAGCTGTGCATAGCAGACAGGACAGATAATGTTCTTGGTCTCTCTTATCATGCTCATGCTTCTTGGTTTCTTTGGCCGGTTGAAATGGAAAACCTTAATATCCTCTTGGTTTTGTGAGGGAGGCTGAATCAAAGTACACCTGATTGCTTTTAGGGAATCCTCGGTGTATTCAAACGTGATACTGAGTGTTGTTTCAGCCACTAGCAGAATTCTTGGTGAGGCTTGACTGAATGTGTCAGAGTTGGGAGGCAGCCACCGTCCCAACCTCTCTCCCTGGTAGAGAAAACAGACGTTACGGCTGAGGGAACACGGAGTTAACTTCAGCAGCTAAACCCTGGGACTCAAGAACCATTCACCATTTTCTTACATTTCTCAGACCAAACAATCACCAATAAGTTAACCTGCAAATAATTTTTTGTTGCAACCAAAATCATTACTTACTTAAAAGGAAAAAAATATTTCAATTTGAAAGATTAATATACATCCTGAATTGCAATCAGAGTTCTCTCGAGTATCTTATGTGATTCGTCCCTGATGATTTTTGCTAAAAATGAAATTTAGTGATTCTCATTGTCCATAGATTTGTCATGTTTTCCCCAGCCTTTGTCAATGGAGTTGATTTTGGTGTGTCATTCTTGTTTTAATCAGTGGACATATCAATACAATTGATTTCAGACTACATTGATCACGTGTTTAACATTCAATTCTCCCAGAAATACCAAACTGTGGATATTTCAGTTTGTTCTCCCCATGTCTTATGTTCGGTCCCATCTCTTCCTGCAGAACTATCCGACCAGAGCACGTTGTTCGGTCAGTGTACAAGGCAACTGGATGCAATGACAACCCCAACCATCATGTGATCTACCTGGAGCACGTGGTCGTCCGTATTACAATCACACACCCTCGCCGTGGGGACCTGTCAATCAATCTGACCTCACCCTCAGGGACCAAATCTCAGCTGCTCGCCAACAGGTAAAGAAACGCATAGTGAGATTTGATCTGCACTGTAATACTACATAAACAGGCAAGACAATGCAAAATAAAAATTATTACCTTATGTCCGTGTGTTAACCGGTGTTTGGGTATATTAAAAAAAAAATGATTTGCTTTGGGTTAAGATAAGTCAAGGTGTTTTTTTTTAATTTAAAATACTTACAGAGGCTTTATTAGATGTGTTTTATTGTATTTAAATATATATGGATTATTTTATTAAAATGTGGAATAGCCATCTGTGCTGAAAGAGCGATAAATGTTGTAACTTTTAGGCAATTTGATTCTAAGTGTATGTCTGGCTGTACAGTACCTTGGGCTTATTCACCTCAAATAAACCACAGTCATGTAATGTTTGCCCATGGCTCATTAGACACTGTTGGTTGAGTGGTTGAGATTGTTTGTTCAAGTATTTGCGGTACTTAAGCTGTTTCCCCATCTGATATCTTCTGTGTGATTTTGTGTGTGCGTGTGTGTTTGCCTGCATGTGTTTTGATGTGCAGGTTGTTTGATCACTCCATGGAGGGTTTTAAGAACTGGGAGTTTATGACCACCCACTGCTGGGGGGAGAAGGCGGTCGGCGACTGGGTCCTAGAGATCTACGATTCACCTTCTCAACTCCGCAGCCAGAAAGTGCCTGGTATGTCATCGGTGCTCTTTTCTTTTTCATAAAATATAATTTTTTTATATGATTGAATTGAAAGACATAGTAGAAATAGAGGACACAGGAGATGGTTTTATGTGGAGTGTAGGAGAAGCACGAGCACACATGTTTCTCTGGAGGCAGTGAACTTAACGGCTCAAATGACCCACCAATTTAACAGCATAATAAATTCTCAAATGGAGAGTTGCTAAAAAGCTGTTACGTGGGTCACCATCCTCCCATGTCACTTCTGCGTAGTTCTCTCGTGTATTATAAACTGTTTAATATAATGTAATCTACTTGGGGTAGCTGAAAATATAAAGGAATTTAGAAAAAGGTTAAAGATGGCTGAACTGCTGTCCCCAAATTGACATAACAACTAGATGATCGGAAGATAAGTTGTTGTTGTTTTTTAAAAAAACTCTCTGTATTAAATATTCACATCAAATATCAAATTCACCTGCTTGATGGACTAAAGTGGATCTGTGTCCGAGACTCTTACAATGATTCTGTTTCCTCAGGCAAGCTGAAGGAGTGGTCCCTGGTGCTGTACGGCACATCTGTGCACCCGTACTCTCTGCGCAGCGAGAAGACCCGCTCCGCAGAGACGGTGGGGCCCACCGAGGAGGAGCTCACTGAGGAGTACATCGGTACGTGATAAATCTGTACACAGACAGTGGCGCCACAGTAGCAGCATCACAAAGTAACATGAGTCTATGGAAGCTGTGTTTTTAATGTCCGGTCACAATGATGGCAGGTTATACTGCCACAGAAAGGAATAAGGGTATTTAAAAATGTGCAATATAATGTAATCAATAATTCTGTTAAGATAATATGGACCAAGATTTATTAGACTGTAAAACCTTACGGTCATGGTCTTCTTACGCTGTTGGTAACGTGTATTTTCCTGCAGGCCCCTGTGACTCTGAATGCAACGAGAACGGCTGTGAAGGTCCTGGACCCCATAACTGCATCAACTGCCTCCACTACTTCCTCAAGTTCAAGAACAACACCAGGTCAGTAATATCAACATGATATCAATTAAGACATTATGACTGTATATTACTGCCATGCCAAAAATAGAAAATGGATCTGTATTACGTTACAACATGAATGTTTATTGTAATAAAAACACCTTTTTTATGACATAAAAACTTAAAAAACTCCACATTAAAACAAGAAACAACACATTTTTTTGATGTTATTTTGTAGTATTTTCTTTAAATGGTTTCAAGATACAACATAACCATTTTATATTCGTATAACATCAAACACCTCAAGTGTTACCAGGTTAAATTGACTATCCATCGTATGGTAAGGTTTTGTACTCGCGTATATAAAGTGTGAATTAAGTGAAGGAGTGAATCAGTGCATTGTACATATGTACTTTATGGATAGCAAAATGTAAGTGTTATTCCTACATTTGGACTCCCTCATGTTTATAGACAGTTTATAGATCCTCAAAGAATACATTAAGATATAAAAGCTATTTCTCTGTGGACTTCACCAGATCCAATTGTCCTCTATTAAATTAAAAAGGGCACCTGAGCTACGATGCTTCAGATAGAAGAAACACCTGGCTCATACGTTTATTAAACAGATTATTGTTGTTCTCTTGATTGTTTTAAAGAATGTGAAGTCCTCTGGGAGTTCAGAGACAGCCACATGAAGAAAGGGATCAATATTAGCCGAGGGTCTCAGTCAGAAAGTGAAAGAGTCTTTGCATACCAAATCCAACAATAACTGGATTCAATCAGCTAAAAGCTGTTTTTCAGTTTGTTCATGCTTTTGGGTAACAACATGAACTGATTTAATCATCTTCATTTCAAATGAAACTTACTTTGCATGTTTTTCTATGTATCAAAAAGTCTTCTTGACATGTTGATACAAAATAAACATACTTGGGTAATTATGTGGATATACAGTAGATGGTTCTATGAAGAGTAGAAAACGCAACAAGCAAGCAACCTTTCTGATGCTGTTTCAAATGCTCAAATTTGTTCGAGCACCTTCTAGATCAGTTGTCTCAATTAACGACGAAAGGAAAACACAAGGCAGAGAAACAATGTGTAAACAGTTAGGTCTTATGCTGCTTTTTAAGAGTTTCCACAGCAGGAGCCAACATTTCAAAGGCACCAAGTCAATGCCCGGTACCATTTTTCTTTTGTGTCACAACTACAGGACCTTATGCCATGTTAGTTTTAGCTTTTGTTCTGAAGTTCAGAAAGTCACAAAATAAAACCTCTTTGAAGAACTCCCTTGCTCAGGATAATTTAGACGTCCCCTTTGCCACCATAAAGGTCACTGCTTGCCTGTTATTTGTTGAGCTTAATTTGAAAAAGGTTAAGAAAACAGCGCAGGTGGCGACCTGATTATTTGACCTTTTCAGTCTGATATCTGCTGTTTCCTTTCTGTCATGTTACGATCAGTATCTCCCATCCCCCTTTTAACAGGTGTGTAAGTGTCTGTGTGTGGGACCTTGAATGTCTTTGTATATATATATGTGTGTGTGTGTGTGTATATATGTGTGTGTGTGTAGGTGTGCCCTTAGGATCCCATTAGGATCAAAGTCTGTTGTAATTGCCTTTGTGTCGGCGGGTCTCTGCACTAATAAAAGGACAACAGATGCAGGTGCAGGAGAATGTGTGAGCTGAGGCGCTGCCTTATCATTAGCACACTTTAGAGGTGTGCTGCCCTTTTCTGCCACCACAGGGAGCAATTGATGAATAAAGATTGGGGGAGTGGTGGGAGGAAGGAGGAGGAGGAGGAGGGATGGTGGTGGTGTTTAATGTTCGGATAATTACATCCCTACATGTGTTTGAAGGTCTAGACTCACTAAAAGTTGTGTGGCTCCTTGAAACTATGTAGGTTGGACCTTTCTGTATTTGTACATGCATGTGTTTTTTTTTCTTCTAAATTAAAGAAATATATATGTATCGTTATTTTTTACATAATTTAAAACGTAACACATTCCGTGTAAATGAAGTTATGACGTGTAGACTTCTTAGCAGGAAGGCATACTGAGGACTGTCTTTAGGCGCATATAAATATATATTTAAGTATCAATTCATTTGAATGTATTGATCACTCTGCTTTATTGGCATGAAATCTAACAAACACTTTTAATTTCACCTTCACCAAAAGTGACTTACAAACCTGGTGTTTTCCTGACTGCTTGTGTTTCTTGCCCTATAGAAAATAAATAGTTACATTCAAATATCTTGGCAATAAATACAAAAATAATTCATGTTGAAAAACAAAACGTGAAATGTTCTGTTTAAATGTATTTAACCATAATGTCCTGTCCGTACGGTTTCAAGGTCTCAACCATTTCCATCTACTGACAGTGTGGTCAGGAACATTCAGTTTAAAGTTTTTCTCACATTTAGTGGTGTCCTTGGTGTAGGCGGTGCATTAAAGTGTTTTTACAATCTTTATTAGTTAAATAATCATTTCAGCACAGCAGAGAAACGGTACTGAAGCTGGAGGACAAACGCATGGCAGTTTATACGTGCACATGCGGCTTATTCGTTTCACACATGCAGTGTGTGTTTCTTGGCAGAAAACTCTGCAGTGTGTGAATGAGGCTTAAGGTGTGTGTGTGTGTGTGTGTGTGTGTGTGTGTGTGTGTGTGTGTGTGTGTGTGTGTGTGTGTGTGTGTGTGTGTGTGTGTGTGTGTGTGTGTGTGTGTGTGTGTGTTTGAGGATTTTTGTGTATTTTTCACCTTAGAAGGGAGCCTCAGGCTGAAATGAGGGGGTGACGGAGGGCTGTGAAGTTATCCAGCAGATGTTACACCTGTTCGCCATATAGCACCGGCACGCACACACTTTGTCCCTCTACTTCTGCTTGTCCTAACTCATTATGTGCTATTGGGACATTAAAAAGTAGTTGTGGTTTACAGTGGGTGAAAAAAAAAACGATGCTTCAGTGCTATAAAATGATATTTCACTTAAACGTATATTTATCACGCACAGAATACACAATGCTCATAATACCCTTAATCAAGGGGCTCATGTTTTTTGTCTGACATAATGTTTTGCATTTTGTGCCTGCTAACATCAAACTGAGCTGCGTGATAGCGAGTGTTAATATTGGAACATTGAGTATGATTTGGTTTTTATTATGTTGCACAGCATAAACTGAATATATTTATAAGAAATACAAGCTGTCCTTTGTTTTTGCTCCACTTTTCACGCTTTCTTTCACCTCGTACTCATCATTTTCTCTCCCTCCAATCCCCCTCTCCAGGATGTGTGTGTCCGAGTGCCCCAGTGGCTTTTTCCGTGATGACAGGAAGCGCTGCAAGAAGTGCTCCTCGTTGTGTGAGACCTGCGTTGGTAGCCGTAGCGACCAGTGCACCACATGCAGGACTGGTTTCCACCTGAACGAGGGCTTCAACACATGTGTCGCCAGCTGCGGTGACGGCTTCTACCTCGACCTTGGTAAGTTCCCTGCTGGCCCAACCGGCTCCACAATGTACAGCTTCTCAACTAGTTAATGCAGACCTGATGGCACATAATGCAGCCCAAAAGATATTCCCAAAACTCCTCAGTCATCTTTCCTTGCTCCCATTTGGGGATTTAATAAGCTGTCTTCTTTTCTCACTGATCTGTTTTCTTGTAGTTCATAAACAAACATGTAGACTTAACAAAACGTAACAGTTCTGGAGATGCTGCAGCAAAATGCCTCCTACAACCACAAATCAGGCTCAGGCCCTGATCACTCAAAGCATCAATGATTTGTTTTTGCTGCCAATGAATACAATTCTCAAGTAGTTGTGAAGTTCATAATGAATTCGAATAACAACGTACTGTAACTGTAGTCCTGGCACTGCTGTAAACAAACTGGACTTATAGAAACATCTGTGAGCTTGACGTTATGTCTAGCCAGTTGTTTATTATCATGCACTTGCTGAGCCGAACAGGACTGAAAAGTTTCTGCTTGTAGATTTATTCAAAAGTGGAATAAGTCAGGATAAAACCTTTTATCCATAGTGAAATGTTCACGAGAAGTCAGCTTGTTTTCGGGTTTATATTAAACAGAGTAGTGCAGTAGGGGTTTACATTCAGTGTCTACTGCTGGTATATACTTACTGGTTTGTCTTATGTTGAAGACGTAGGCCAGCCTGGCCGAGAGTAAAGCACAAATGAGAGACTGAAACTATGTATATCTTATAATTATGTATGTTGGTTGGCAGCCAACACGGTGTAAGTCCTGGCAGCGTAGAGTCTCTGGCAGCAGATCTGATGTGATCCAGTCCAAGTTCAATCAAAACATTTCAACGGGCCAAGATGTAGTGAATATTTTTTTCTTTTGAAATGTTGGCACTGCGGAGTACCGCGTTGTGTTAAAGGAGTTTATTTTCTCTTTGTTAGTCTGACAGCAAGCCGAGGTGAACTCCTGCCTTTGTCAACGCATGGACACTTCCATGTAATGATTTGACTTATTGTAAGTCAGCTAAATGCAATGTAATGTAATGATTTTATTACAGGTCAAAATACTCTTAAGGATATGCCAGACTAATGAATGGAAATGTCATGTAAGCAATATGTTGTGTGTGGTATCAACAGACAGCATTGTGTTACACAAACAGTCCCACGGCCATAGCTGGAGTGTTTAGATTTGCTTGTCTTTTTAATTAACTTTAATAATGAACTCATCGTTTCAGCTATTTTCTTTACCTCCAGTTCTCTTGAAAGCTAAAGCGAAATTGCCTTTTCTTTTCACATCAATCCGTCTGTGACCTGTCCAAATGCTTCCTCCTCCCTTTAATGCTTTTCAGATTCCTGAAAATCTAGCCAACGATCCTCACTTCTCTGTCTCCTCCACTTAGTTCTGATCATAAGACTTCCCAAACCAAACCAAAAGGATGTGTCATACTACATGAGCAATGCTTTTTGGAAATGTAGAAATCACAGTCTTGCTTAATAGTACAGTCTACTCAATAGTTCCCCTAGGAACAATAAATCCCCTTATACACAATTCTTATTTATAAATCTTCATCAGTGTCCATGTGTACTGTGTCAAAGCGTTTCATTGCCATGAGTCTGCCTTTTGAAATATTCATCTATATTCCTCTCCTCCCTCACCAACACTACAATGTACTTTTCATCCCTGCAGCTCGAGCCTTTTGACATTTCCTTTCCTTCACCGTTATCTTCTTCCACCGCTCCCTTTGTTAATCTCAACTGCAGCCAGACTTCTGGTTCCTATTACTCACTGTTTATGATGCTCTCTTTCAGATTCCAATATTTGCAGGAGATGTCCAGAGAACTGTAAGAAGTGCATTTCCTTCAATATCTGCACAGAATGTAAACCTGGGATGAGGTGAGTTAAAGGCCGCTGAGCACCGCCCAAGTCACACTAAAAAGAGTTTATAGCGTTGATCGTTTGAGTGTCTTGACAGAAAGTGATTTAAGTCTTGCTGTGTCTGCTGCTACCTAACTTTGGATTCTACACCTTATAAACACCATACTTAACGGTATTGTTAGAAATGCTGCAATCACATTAAAATCATTACATAGCCTCTTTACTGCCGCAGAAAAGTTGCCACTTTGGCGTCTGTCTGCTTCAAATCAAGTGGTCTTTGAATAGGCGTACAGCGTCTAACCCCCCGGCCCCCCTCACACCTTTCTGATGTGAGACGTGGGGGCTTAGTCTGATTCAAACTGAGAATTTATCGTCAATGGAATCGCCTCAAGATGAAATAATAAATCTAGATATCGTGATTAAATCGCCTAAGTTTATAATAACAACGATTAATATCTCAGAAAATCTGAACAAGCCATTAAATAAAAATAATGTTTCTGTGTCCATGTGTCTGGTGTGCTGTCCAGGAAAAAGCCTTTAGAATGAAATCTAACTGAGAGCCAGTTGCTACAAGACCTGCTGGTATTAATCATATGAAGACAGTCAGTCTTCTGTCACACGAGCACAAATAGCCCAGGTTTTGACTTCTGGTATTCATTTGGCTTCAGGATAAAAACCTTTTGTGTTCATCCTCTCAAACGCAGCAGGAAGACAGTGTTGCTAATTCGAGCACATCTGCCCTGTGGTTTAGGGTCGTAGAATGAACCGGTGACACAGGGCTTCCCAAATGCGTCCCACTTGGGAAACAGAGTTTCACCCAGTGACCCAGGCTGATTAAAGCCAGCATATGCTCGTATCATGCGGAGACCCACAAGAAGTGGAGCTGTTTTAAGTTGTGGTCCTCACTTTGAAGAACCTCTGATATACTGTAAGCATTTCAGTTACCCAGACATGTTGCAGTTCATTTTATGTTCTCTTCTGCAGCAGCCTCTCCAAAACCGCACCACTACACTTGACCTGACAAAGAATAGGGCGTTTCAAAGTGCTGGAATTCCTGATAGGTCATGAAGGAAACACTTGTGAAGCGCTTAAAACATATTGCGGTTTTGAACTCAGCTTTCAGTGTTCAGGGTAGCCAAAGGTGGAGGTGTGGACACTTGTAAGCCATAATTTCCTCTTAATGCCAGTGAGACCACAGAAAGACACATGCTTACACACACACGCACACAGTCTCCCATTCAGTACACCATTCATGGTCGGTTAGGAGCCGAAGAGAGGAACAGACGAGATTGTTTCTGGGAAACGTTAGCTAACACAGACCAGCTGTTTTTCAGTTTAGTGCGTCAAGCTCACCAACCTGTCCTCGATGTGACTTCAGAGAGCCGACTAAATATCCTCCAAATGTACTTCCTAACTGACCTCTACATCTGATCAAATATATTTCTATATGTATGTTAATCTCTGAATATACTATTCCTAACAACACATTCCCTTTAAAGACAATTGAGTTTTGCAGAAGTTATAAACCTGTACATCAGCTAAAAGGACCATCGCCAGCTGCTGTGAACGCCCACGTGTATTTAATGTTGCTGCAGTCTTTTTTTCCTTCCTAAATACTTGCCCAGAAAGAAAATTGCTCTGTATCTGCTGGCTTTCAACAGGCTGATGGGGAAACTTTAAAGCGTTTTCACAAATGTTTACTTTTTGAAACCCACCTGCCGCCTGTATGGGGAATGTATGTTGCTTATTAATGATACATTTATAACTTTGACTTACTTTGGTTACTTGGTGTTTACATTTAGGATTTTAATGTCAGTTATTTTCTATTTCTCTCTTAAGCCTTCAAGGAAACAAGTGTCAGATGACCTGTGACCCCGGGACTTATTACAACGGCCACAGGAGGACTTGTGAGCCCTGTCATCGGGCATGTGCCACCTGCGCAGGTAGGAAGTCATACAATTTACAACAGTTTATATTCATCATTTAGGTCCGCGGGCTCTTTTGTGGTTTAGTAGACATGATGAATACTAGAAACAAGATTTCTGAAGTGGTTCTGTGTTTTCCAGGCACAGGTATAGAGGCGTGCAGTAAGTGTGCCGAGGGCTACTTACTGGAGGACTGGCGGTGTGTGTTGACGTGCAGCACTGGGTACTACCTGTCAGAGCACACCTCAGACAGCGGGCAGCTGCAGAGGTCCTGTAAGAAGTAAGTCAGCACACCTGCCAACACCTCAGTGACCCTGCAGATCTCCAGTCAGCAAAGATAAACAAGGAAATCAGTGCAAATGTACCAACTTCTCTTAGCATTATCTTTTCTCCCTACAGTGCCATGCACGCAGGAACATATTTTCATGCAGAGGTTACTTTAGATAGGTGCTCATATTTATAATTACTGATAAAAGTAGAACATGTTCTGAAGTTAAGTCCAACACCTGTGAGGAAATAATAAAACAGCAGGATAAACGGTATGATCCGTATCATTGAGACTATTTCACCCCATAATGAGCTCACCTGCACAACATTAGTGATGCTTCATGTTTCAGATATGTTCCTATCCTGTCATCTGTTTGTCCTCAGTCGGCACATTTCAAAACATTCTCTGCATATGGCATTTGTACTTAATCCCCTTAAAATTAAATTGATATTAACACATGGTTGCATGTTCATCCGAGGAACTGGATTCTCATTGTTTGAATGATTACGGTAATTGATGTTATTAAAGCAAGCTGAGCTGCCCCTTGATTCCATCTTAAAGCTGTGAGTCATGTTGCTGCACTCCTCTCACCGTGCTAACCTGCTCATGTTCCTGTGTGATGACTGCTTTGCCTCCTATCCCACCCACAGTCCACCTCCTCCACACAGGCAGACATCTTGTCTGCTTTTCTTATCTTCTTGAGTGAACTTGCCTCCCTGTTTTCTCTCTCCCACCTCAACCTATTTATTGCATACTTGACCTTTTACATTACTTAATTTGCTGTTAGTTCCCTCCTGCTTAAATTGTTTTGATAAAACCCATTTTCACGCTTAATATGAAAGCTTTTTCTTGCCTTACTTGGCCCTTTGCTTCTAAAGGATTATTTGCTTTCAGTCCTTTGTGAAAGCTACTCACCAACACACACTGAACTACCGTTTATAAATGAAAAGCTTAGTTGAATAAAGCAGATAGTGTTGAGTTTTGTGCAGAGGTTTGTCATGGTCAAGTAAATACAACTTAGCATTTCATTTGGATTTTCTATATGCGTGTTGATCCGCTCTTTTGTACGTTGACTATTTATCCACTTCCAAGTTATGATGTACACCAGGACAAAAATGATATGTTTAATTGTTTCGTTTTTTGAGCATTTATTGGAATGAAGCAGATTAGACAAGTGAAAGCTCTGCGGGGACAAAAGGAATGACATTAGACGACTATAGGCAAAAACTAGTGAAAGATAGTCGATTATTCTTAAAAAACAGTTCTCATTTCAAAGAGGATATGCGAGTACAGCATAGTGCTGCATAGACTTTGACATACAGTAACTCATTCTTCATACAACCATGGACAGGTGTGACCATAGCTGCTACGAGTGCCTGGGGCCCGGGGAGAGGAACTGCAGCAGCTGTGTCAGTGGATACAATCTGGAGGCAGGAGCCTGTGTGGTCAGCACCATCTGCAAAGATGGTGAGTTGTCAGCTTTCTTAGCTACAACATGACCTCAAAGTGTTTCTTTATACCTGTTGCATTGCCTCTCACAGGCAGTGCATTTTCACCATACATTACTATGGTCTGGAGATAACATGTAAGGTCTTGTAGCAGTTAGATTGTTGAATGGACAGAGAATGTTAGAAGAAGTACACACATTTTGGTCTGAACGATCCTAATCAAAGAGCCAAAGTTATACATCTGAAATCTCCCCAAGACTAATTTGCATCTCCAGATTCAATTAAGTAATGACCTAAAGGGTATGTAAATGAAAGCAGAAGGTATAATAATTGAGTAACTGCGAAGCATTCACCTTTTTTACATTTATTTGAGCATCACACTAACTCCTTGCATCAAACTGTTTCGAGGCAAAGGGTGGACTGATCTTGCTTTGCCCTTTTTTGCTCTTTAATGTCTTTTGCAAATATACTAATGTAACATCTCTCTGAGAAGATACACTCACATTCTTCTTGTTTTATTGTAACACAAACTAACACTTCTCCCGTTATTTACTGGTAAAGTCAGACTGCATAGGCTGAAACGTTTCTTGAGGCATTTACTTTCTCCTTCTTTATTTCGCTCAACTATTTCTTTCCCTTCTTTCATTTCCGAATAATGCATGTTTGGCTTACAGATCTTTAAGCGTAAATCTTCCTGCTTCTCACTAACTGGCTGAGGTGTTGGTCTAATTATAAGGCTTCTGCTAAAGTGTGCGACTTGCAGCTCTAGTCATGACCTTTAACTTAAAATGAACCCATGGCCAGAAAGCTCTGAGGAGGAAAATGTCTTTACTGTGTGACCTTTGTGTTAATGATGAGTACTTAAAGTGCACAACCAGTCTGTTTCCGACCTTTCCAAACCAAAGCGGTATGTTTCAGTGCTGCTAATAAATGAAATAATTGGCTTTAAGCATTTAAAGACTGGTGGTCCACTTTAAGATTTCTTTATTACACAAGTTGTGAATTAAAAAAATCTTCAATTTGCTAATTTTGTGACGTTTGTTTTTTTTCTCTCTTTTTCTCTGTTGTTCTCCCAAATCCCAAATTTGATCATGTTTACCTCTCTCTCGACGTGGATACAATCACCCCGCTGGACAACAATACTTTTCCACCTCGATGAACATCACCTGTGATTGGATGAACAAACTCTTCCTGTCACCTGACCAATCATACGGCTCTCCCTGCCATTCAACCATTTCTAATGGTTCTCCCCTGTGTGTTTTTTGTGTGTGTTTCCACATGCATTTGTATATGTGTGCGCATGTTTTCCCTCTACCTCCTTCTTATCTCTTCTTCCTGGTCTGGGGAAAGCAAATGAAGAATCTTGGGCGGAAGGTAGTTTCTGTGTGCTCGTTAAAAAGAACAATCTCTGCCAGAGGAAAGTGCTGCAGCAGCTGTGCTGCAGAACGTGTTCGCAAAAGGGCTGACGGGACGTACTCACTGGGCGTAAAGGGAGTGCAGGGGGGGGCGTGGGGGCAAAGGGGGCACCCCTCCTTGTCAAACCCCCCTGCCCACTCATTCACAGTCACATAATTTATAAGAGAATCTGTGCCTCTTAAAGGGACTGCATCGGAGGTGCGATGGCAGGACTACAACAAACCTACCTTTTTCTGTACTGGGACACACACACGTGGTCAGGGTGTAAAATGACTGGGACTTATTTCAAGAACAAACGAGCAAATGAAAACAAAAGTGAAAACAAACAAAATAATAAAAGTGTCGGTATTTTGTGACCAAAGCATCGATGCCAAAATAATTGAACCTTCTATTTTTTGCCAGTGTAGGAAGCATAGCTTAAAACAGGAGCCACTTATCGTCTGAATACATCTGTGTGCAGTTTTTTGGCTCTTTTTTTCCTCCTATCTTTCCCGTGTTAACGGTAAACAGATGGGAAGTGAATATACAGTAGGAAAGGCCCTGGTTTTTCTGCCTGTAAATATATGTCAAAGAAAAAAAAAGAAGCTAACTCGGTAATGTGAATATAATGTCTGTATGGGCTGACTTTGGCTGTGTAGGAGTGGGAAGGCACACACACACACACACACACACACACACACACACACACACACACACACACACACACACACACACACACACACACACACACACACACACACACACNTAGATTGGTTAAAAAGTTATTTAGATAACAGACAACAATATGTACAATTTGCTGGAAGTACATCGGAGTGTATGAACATAGAATGTGGTTTCCCACAGGGCTCGGTTTTAGGGCCTAAACTTTTTATTTTGTACATCAATGACATATGTGAAATGCCAACATTATTGCAATTTGTGTTGTTTGCAGACGACACCAATTTGTTTTGTTCAGGAGATGATTTAAACATTTTAGCAAAGTGTATTGGACATGAAATAGTCAAACTTAAAAGATGGTTTGATGAAAATAAGTTAACCCTAAATTTGAATCAAACTAAGTTTATGGTTTTTGCGAATAGAAAAAAAGATGAAAACATTTCACTGTCCATTGATGGAGTTTTTATTGAAAGGGTTTCTGAATTGTGATTCTTAGATGTGACACTGGATGATAACCTGACATGGAAATCACAAATAGCACATGTTGAAACGAAAGTTTCTAGGAATATTTATGTTCTAAACAAGGCAAAGCAGTTGCTAGATTACAAGGCATTGAGAATGTTGTACTGTTCACTCATTTTGCCATTTTTTATTTATTGTATAGAAGTGTGGGGCAACACGTATATGAGCAACATAAAGCCATTGTCAATATTACAGAAAAGGGCAGCAAGAATAATACATAAAGCTGACTCAAGAGAACACACCAACAGACTGTTTTTTAAGTCAGGACTCTTGAAACTCAAAGAGATAGCTGAGCTGCAGACATTATTAGTAATGCACAGGGCAAAAAGCAGAATGTTACCAGTATATCTACAACAGTTTTTTGTTTTTGGATCAGACAAGGAAGACCACAGAAGGAAAAGTAATTGTAAGCATCCTCATGCAAGGACGAAATTTAATTGTAAGCATCCTTATGCAAGGACTACTATTAAGCAAATGTGTATTTCGGTGGTTGGTGTAAAATTGTGGAATTCTCAACAGAAGGATCTAAAGAATTGTAAATGTACTTTTCAGTTAAAGAAATGTGTATAATTAAGACAAATGGGACTATATAAAGCAGAATGTGAATAAGTCTATGTACTGTACTCTGGTCCTGCATTGCTAAATAGTTTGGATGTCTTTGATGTGATGTCTGTTCTTTATTTGCAGGTCCCATTATTATTGTTATTGTTATTATTATTGTTATTATTATTATTATGCGCCGCTTTCCACCTTCTTCTCCAGTAGGACTTAGATGAGGGTATTGAACTTTTCCTTTTCCTTATACATGTGATGTTTTGGTGTTGTTGTTTTTTGTTGTTGTTTTGTTTCTTTCCGTTAACCGTCAAGTGGGAACTAAGTATGTTTTGTGTTTCTCTTAGTTTTCTAAGATACTGTTGTGTTTGGCTTTCTTTTTTTTAGAAAGGGGCAGGTCATATAAGATAGTTTTTTTTCTCCCTGTTCCTTTTCGCTCAATGGTGTGCTTGTAGAGAGATGTTTTGTTGGCAATTATTGTACATTGAGTTGTGCGTACAATGAGCGGGACAAATACAAATTAAATTAAATGAAATAACCAGTTTTTCTCTCTGTTTGCTTTCTTAATTAATGTATGCCCACTATTTTTTGAAATGTAATTAAATAGTAGTTGATATATATATATATATTGGATATAACTGGATGCCGAGTCTTGAAAAAAAAGAGACTTATTTAAAGCAGTGTTCGCACATATTTGGGTAAAATATTATGGTTATTTAAAATGCAAAGACAGGAATGGTTGTGCCCACTTGCTTCCAATTTTCAATTCATACTTTAGATAAGTTATAACAATCAATCATGTACTTGTGGTGGAATTGCTCATCAATCTTCCTGTCCAAAAAGGATATCCCTTACTAGCCTGTCTCAAATGTAGTATAAGAGGGACAAAGTGTGAAGAAAGTCGTGCCAAAGTAACGTTGGAGCCAATATGAGCCATCAATAGTCTGAGTTGGCCAAATCAAGTAGGTATTGTACTAAGTTATACTTTTTAGTAGGATTTTTTTCCATCTTTCCTTCCTCAACTTCTAACATTTAATTCCTATAAACAGTGCCTACTCTTTTCTCTCATCCTCCTCCCTCTTCCTTCCCCCATGTGTCTTTCAAACACCTTCTCATGCTCCCTCTGCAGCACCATATCCTCCGCTCTCCCATTAGACTCTATGTCTTAGGTTCTTATGTAACTCCACATTGAACTCCATAGGTGTCTTTCATTCTTATTCTTCTTCTGTGTGCACATTTGTGTAATTGGTAATATTGATGGCAGGGGTACTAACACTGAAAACCTGATGGTGGGCCATTGGTCTAAAGCACCCACTGAATTTATTGTTAAGATACAAAATGATAGTAATTATAGAAAATGATGCATAAAATACAATGATCCCATGTTCCCTGGATTGATGCCTCTCCATTCATTTTTATTTGTTTCCTTTAAACATCTGGCAGGTAAAATTGCAGGGTGAATTTTTGGTCAGCATGCTTTGTGCCTACCATGTCTCATGGCTGTCTGATTATGGATATCCACCAACATAGCTACTTGTATCTCTGGCTATGAGTCTAACTGGTTGAATGGATGGTTTGTTAGATAACTGCATAGTTGTCTGGAGAGATCGCTGGATAGATTTTTTGTTTGGATGACTGGATGGCTGACAAACTGACTGACAGGTTGGCTGGGAAGCTGATGGCTGGATAGCTGTTCATCCGTCTGGCTCACTGCATGTGTGCAACTGCAGGATGGCTGACTAAGCACACATGTGAATGTATGTTTATAATGTTTGTGGGTGTGCGTAATGTGTATCCCCTTTTATCTGATGCTTTTCCATCCATCTGCATGGTTGTTACTCCATATCAAACACTTATTCAAAATCCCTTTCTCAACTTTCTCCCTGCTTTAGTCTATGAGTGGAGGAACCCTGGGTAATTTGGCAAGTTTACATATTCAGAATATGTGTGCTTGCATGGATATGCATAGTGTATTATTCAGTTTTTCTGTTTTGTCTTCTCGCCTCCATTGGAGCCCATCAGTATCTGAAGATATTTTGGCAACGGGGTCTCCACTCATGCCACCCACTGCTGATCATACTTTAGCAGTTTCCAGGAAGGCACACACACACACACACACACACACACACACACACACACACACACACACACACACACACACACACACACACACATGAATATGTAGCTCACACATACTCTAATAAAGATGAACTCAGACACCACTTGAAATTCGATGCAACAATGTCACGTTAACCAAAATCACCACCTCATTTCGTTTATCTAAAATCATCAAACTGCCCACTGAAAAGTGTGTGTGTGTTTGTCTTTATTGGTGTGCGCTAGTGAATGCCATTAATTCTTAATGTAAGCCCAGACAGCATTGATTCATTCCAGAGGTACTACAAGACGAGTCGATAGTCATTCCTTCCGGAGTTTTCTGCAGGGAAGGAAACGCTGCAGTGAGTTGTAATGCATTTGTGGTACGAGGGATGAACAGATGCCTATTTTTCACTCACGATGCAGATCCTGGATTCTTACATTTGCCCAAAACTGAGTATTGATGCCATCCATTACTGTGACAGAACAATTTGAAGCTCCATCATTACTTTGTTGTCACTGGATATAATAATTAAAATATAACTCGTATTTGTTACAGGGAACTGCAATTGTTTTATATGTCTGTTTGATTTCCCAGATGCCATATGTAACCCCCATTAAAGGGAATTTTGTCCAACAGTAATATTTGATCTGTATCGGTGCATCCCCTACATGTTACTGTTCTCCAATAAAATAGAGTTTTAGAAGTTTCTACTATTCGTCATTCCATATAATGGCAATTCATATCAAAGAGTATTGCTCTACACTTTCAACACAGAAGGTCAATGAACGGCACAGAAAAGATTCTGTCGTTACCATGTTTCATGTGCAGGTAAGGTCTCTGACACACAGACTGAGGTGCAAATCAGAGCTGTGACCGTTTTGCTCCGTTATTTTAGAAATTGGATTTTGCGAAATGTTCAATATGGAAACACATTTGGCTTCAGTCAACCCACGAGAAATCTGAAAATAAACATTGAGTAAATCATTTTTTTTGTATTTACATTTTAACCGAAAGTGTACTGACGGGCATCGTGTGCCTGGAATGTTGAATGATATTGAGCTAAAAGTGTAGATGTGCTGAGGTCGTCTGTTTCCCTTCTGTCTGTCTCCGGACCTTACCTGGTGAAACTCAAAGGTTATTCTGCTGGTGCTGGTTTCTAATAAAGAGCCGCAATTATAATGTTTAAGATTCTTATTCTATTTCTGTTGGTTTTCATACCCGCAGCTTGATCAGTATTAGATGAATTGTTGTACTGTCAACTGGTTATGGTTCTTGATGATTTGTAATAAAGATTGATGACTCCCCTGTTTGGTTAACAAAAACTTATTCCTGGTCATTGTTTAAGATGACTTGAATTGACTTTAGATTGTGTGGTAGTAGAGGCACACACACACGCCCCTCGTATAAAAGCTGTTTTTATTGTGTACCTGTGACATATCTGTGACAATGCATTATTAATGTTACTCAAAGTCCTAGTTTTGAAAATCTTTTTTTTGTACTTAAGTGTTTTTATTAAAATGTTTAATCTGTTCATGTTTTTGTTTTTAGTTTTCATTGATTATGTTTCATGGTTTTAATCGGTTTAAATCATCCTTAAGTATTTTTATTCAACCTCTCCCTTCCTTTTTTATATTATTTTATAAATGACCATGAATGGTAATATCATTATTGAAATTCAGATCAATGCCTTGAGAAACATTTAGTTTTTCAGCACTCAACTGGATTAATGAAATACAAGTTGCACATATAATGAAGTAGCAGGTGCTGCTGCTTCATTATAGGTGCAACACTTGAATGTAGCACTCAGATTTGTTAACCCTTTTCCAGTTTTTCTGCATTATCTTTTCTTTCAATACTGCAGCTTTTAATATCGTACAAATCATATTTTGAAGAAAGAACTCCAAGGCCAAAACCAGCCTTGTTTGAGGAAATGGATAACATCTTCCCAGAGTAATTGCAGTTTAACCCAAAATACATTTGTCAATGCTAGTCTTGATACACTTACAGTATATAGGATATACAAATACAACTGTGACCAGTATCTAGTACACATTTTCCATGACAGAGTTTGTGTGGTAAACCCTAAATTATTCTAATTTATTTGAATAATCCCTCACAATTTTCTGGGATTCCTACCAGACTCAGTCATGTTTTTTTCCCCGTCCTTATTCTTTTTTTCTCATTTGTTAATTACTAAGTACACTTCTTGTCATGGCTTGAGTTTTCACCAGAGCTCATTTGGAGTCTCCTGGCATTTGAATCATGTGGGCAGCCATGAAAAATCTTAGTTCATCCTGCTGTAACTCCTGCGCGGGCTGCACTGTGGCTCCATGTTCATCAGTATGTCTTTTTTGTCCCATCCCTAAAGGAATTATTAGGTAATAATCCTGACATTCCCCTTGACCAAGGCATTGGGTTACTGAATAGTTACCATAGGTGAAATACTGAGGACAAATTACCTCAGGGGGATTAATCATGTCCAACTTAACTCGGGCCAAGTAGAAAGAACCCTTCCCTGTGGTAATAAATACTGTCAGATTCATGATGTGGTTAATATTCTCTTGACCACCTGGTGAATGTAGTTATGCTCTCACAGCGAGGTATCAGAAGGTGGAAGGGCCATGGAATTGGGATGCAGGGCCAGATGTGGTGGATGTCCGTGTGATGTCTGCCAGCAGATTGTTCTCGCCTGACAGAGTAGACTGTCAATGTCCTCCCAAGGTCAGCCCAGTCCATAACAGAGGGAAAGTTTTACTCCCCTGAGTGACAGGCTCTCTTTCTTCCCTACCATTCTTTTTCTGTTTGGCGGTGGGAGTCCAACGTGTCTGCTTTTGCCGAGTAGAGTTGTGCAGCTTTCCGTCCCTAGAGAATTTGGCTCCCCTGGGTGTTTGTGTGCGTGAGTGAGTGAGGGGGAGACAAACAGAAAGACAGGGAGAAAATGTGTGTGTGTGAGGGAGAGTGACGGTGTTTATTCGGGGGCCGTTTGAATGGTTTCTGCAGAGCTCTACTGAATGGGAAGCCACCGCCTGTTGTGTTTGTACACAAAGAAGCTCTTTTGTTTTAAAAGGAACAATTGAGCTTTTCACAGAAAGCCAGAGAGCACAGACAACCTCGCTGCTGCCGTGAAGGATGCTCTCTCTCACACACACACACACACACACACACACACACACACACACACACACACACACACACACACACACACAGCTCTTTCCTTATGCCTGTGTCACCTTTGTCTAATACAAAGGTGGGATTTGGGACAATGTTTACTTCTCTTTTGTGTTGGGTCTTTTCAGTGTTGCCAAGTGTAAACTCAAGGTTGCGTTTTTGTTTGTAACTTTTTGCTCAATTCTTAAGCAACTTTCCATACTGTTTCGACAGAATATCAGCCTATGTGTTACCTGGGGGGTTGTGATCGATTTTTGTGTATTCATGAGGCTGGGAAAAAAGATGATTTGGTAGAGAGGGTTTATTTATAATGTATGTGTCCGATAAGTATGCTTTTACTGCTGCGTACTGCACAATGACGATGACATATCTATAGAGTGATAGTGTTTTTGATAAATGTCAGTGACTCAACAATTGCTACGCCAGGTGTTTTCTGGCCCTCATAGCTCCGTTATGCAACAAAAACGTTCAGACTTCTCCAAACCTACAAACGTTTTCTACATCCTCTACAGTGGAGGCTGTGGTCAGTGGGCTACAGGCCCATATCATTCTTGAATAAAACAAAAGCAAATTATACATTTTTAATCTCTATGATATGATAGATTATCTTTGCATATCTCCACAGGGATGGTTTAAATGTATGTTCACCTGAACCTCATCTCTTCAGAATTAAGAAAACATCTGATGCCCACACAGGGTTGAACCCATGCAGGAGCTTTCTGCTTTAAGGCAGCAGAATAACAAACTTAAAGCCACTATATATATATATATATATATGTATGTATGTATGTATGTATACATATATACATATATATATATATATATATATAGAAACATGTTTGTGTAACTGCATTCTGAAAATCCCTCATCATTTACATTTGTTTAAAAAGTCTTGAATTGTTTTGGGAATCTTTACCTTCGCTCACAAGGATCAGATCTACATCATATCTCTGTTTACTGTAAAAACATTGCACTGTTAGAAAGAATGCTTACTGCTTCACGGACATTTTTAAATGATGTTTAATCATTTCATTCTCAGAGATGTTTTTGAACCTGTGAAGTGTATTTGCACACAGTATGAGAACAGGACAAGAAGAAGAATACAACAAAAGGAGATATACCTGTCAGAATCCAGAGGATAATGAGCTAGACCTTCAATGAAACCAAAACAATAACAACTGACTGTTGCTTATAATTGCTGCACATCACAGCATCTCGAGTCGCTCCAGTAAAAAGAAAGAAGTGTGGAAGCGAACACATAACACAGCTGGTAAACAAATAATGACAATTTCTATATGAAAACTGTGTGGATAGGTCTCCCTTGAAAAGATGGTTCTATAATTGTTGTACAAGAACTTGAGGCAGAATTTGTTCACAGTTGCTCTCCGTCTGTAGGAGAGTACATGAGCACACATGGATCGTGCCACTTCTGTTCTGTGACCTGCCTGCAGTGCACGGGTCCGGAGAGAGAGGACTGCTCCAGCTGCCCTGCAACACGGTGACAACCTCTGACATACAAACACATATTAAAGAGAAGAAGTCTTATTTATCTTTTCAGTACAACGTAGGCTATTAGAGAAACCCCACCGGCACAGTGTTACGTACTGATTTTCCACTGGGAGATTTTTAAGTTGAATATCAGCTGATATTAGTGGTTATCAGTTCCTAGATATGGGTTACAAGAGGCCTGCTTCACCTGGTAGCAGATTAAAACAAAACCAATTGATAATGGCCATTTAATGGACTGATAACTGCATTAAGACGTACCTACTATTTAGTGCTGCTTCTCATTTAAAACGGTTGCACCTAAATGATGTGTTTTATTTGACTCATTTCAGTGGCTGAGGCAGATTTTTCATGTACATTGTTAACCTCCTTCCCTCCTTTAGGTTCTTCGATGATGGCAGCTGTGTGATCCGCTGCCAGCTGGGGCGTTATGCCATGGAGAGGCAGTGTCACCTCTGTCACCACACCTGCAAAGAGTGCTCTGACCAGGGTCCTGAACACTGCACCAGCTGCGACACAGGTACCTTACCTGGTCCAGAATTAAAAACACTATTTTTAAATGATGAAAGGCTAAGTCAACCAAAACACTGTGACGATTTTCCTTACACAGGATCAGTTAGTGCGGATTAAAAAAAATACGATATAAGATATTTGTAATGATAACCATATTATTCGTAAAACATCTATATACACATTACGTAAATCAGACTTAATGGTTGATAATTGGTTTGTAAACCTTGACATTATTTGCATGGCTATTGTAAAGTTGCAAATGATGATTATAACATCTTGTTCAATTATTAATAAATACATTGTAAAGCATCTATAAACATTATTTAGATAGATAAATCAAAATGTAATGGGTATCGTCTCTTATCAGCTATAATACAATATATAATTTAAACAAACTATTAAATTATACATCGAAATTATAACATTTTCAGTAATAAGTTATCAATTAATAATGTTTTAATATAATGACAACTATCAACTCATTGTTCACAGTAACTATTTGACGGTAGTTAATATACAGCTTTACCAGCTTTATCTCTCAGGTTGCTTTTATCAGAAGGTGGACAGTGTTCAAAACGCATCCATCTAGCTGGAGCTGCATCCATCTAGCTGTAGCTGCATCCATCTAGCTGGAGCTGCATCCATCTAGCTGTAGCTGCATCCATCTAGCTGTAGCTGCAGTGTCAGTGAATCGTGCTTTTTCGTGACATCACATGGATCAAGCCTCGGCTCATTTATGCCAGACTCCACCAATCTATCCTCTGAAGGTAAATGAATCTAATTAAAGCTGTAATTCAGCCGAGGCCTGCTGATAGATGTGCTGAAAAGGGAAATCATTCATTTGTTCTTTGTATCCTCATACCGAGGTCACTGCACATCTCTCAGGGTGAAGCTTGGTTAAAAGACAAGCTGCGTTTAGATTTCACGTCAATTAATACATCCTCTCGCCTTCTGCTAAGGTTTGTAATCCTGCTGAGGATGAAAAGAAAAAAAAAAGTTGTTCCTCAGTGGGAAAAAAAACGTTATTATAAAACCCGGATGATTAAAGGCTCACAGCTGTCGAAATATCAACTTTCAGCAGGTTGTAAAAACGGTGTTTATCACAGAGTCACAGACAGTGTTATGGCTGTCAGAGTGAATGTATTTACACTGGGGAGATTCTGTTACGCACACACTCACCTACTCACCGCCAAGGAGGAGATTAACACCAGATTTCTCTCTCTCTCCCCCTCACGTGTGCACACACACTCTTAATTAGGCTGCAAGTTTGTCAGACTGTGTTTGCAAATGTGGTTCCATTTAATTGCAGGTCTGTCTGAGGCTCAATGAGACATAACAATAATAACATGAAGAAACCCTCCATCTGTCTCTCCCCGTGTCATTTCTCAAAGAAAACAACCACACACACACACACACACACACACACACACACACACACACACACACACACACACACACACACACACACACACGTGCATACACACACACACGTGCACACACACACACACAGACAGACAGACAGACAGACAGACAGACAGACAGACAGACACACACACACACACATTTGATACTGACCTTTGATAGTACTGGGAGTCTTAAATTCCTCTGTCTCTAGAGGAGGGGAAGAATGAAATAACTGCGTTACAGAGAACAAGGGAAGAAGTGAGAACAAGAAAAGAGATAACGTACAGACATTTTAGTTTCATTTTTATGAAGCAAATGAATACTGCTATCGTGAGATAAACCACTGCTAAACAGTTGATATTGACATTAAAGTATCAGTCAAAATGTATTGAGTGTTCTTAATGTAGTTGGGGTTGTACTAATTTAAATTGCCAGTAAGTCCTTTTAATATGTGCAATAACAAAAGCTTTTCAGCGTTCACACATTGAGACAGAATGTGTTTGACATTCTGAAATTAATATTGAAGTCGCTCACACTGTTGTTTATTTATCTCTTCCAAAATTCAAGTTGAGTCACAGAATCAGATTAATACGATTATAATTCATATTCATACATAAAACGTCCACTAAGGATAAGCAATAATGTCTGAATTAATTTAATCTACTCTAAAAATAAAACACAGAAGAAGGAAAAAGAACATATTCAAGAGAGAAAAGTTCACACCAGCAATATGAAAACCATGGATTCGGGATGTATAAACCTAAAGAAAAATAATTCAATTTCTTTTAAATCTAAGACTTAAGGGGACGTTTTAGAAATGTCAACGAGTGGAATTCAAGCCACTTTTATCCAGATACAGTACGTGGTTTTAAACTAAAAACACCAGTTTTATCGATTAAGTGGTATAGTATTTATAACATAATGAATAGTGGTCGCTTATAAAATCATAATTATGTATGACCTTTTTTTTTGCTTCCATACTTAATTTCTACTGAGTTTTTTTCACATTGCCTCACTGTGAATATCTATTTTTTCAAAAAAGCTCATGTTTATATAATGTCTTTTTAAAAAAAAATGTTTACCTGCAGTAAAATGTGGCTGCTGTAACATTGCCAAGCAAAGTTTATATAGTGAATAAAAGACAACATGTGTATTATTGGGGTGTTTCTGTAATTGTATGTGTTAGAGTGCATGGCTGTCTGAGTATGTCTCATACCTGTCTCATTCGTTGTTGATTTCCTCTTCTATTTTGGCTCCCTCTAGATAAGTTTAATGTGGCCAGGTACCTCTTCCACAACCAGTGTCGGGATGTCTGTCCAGAGGGGTTCTTCCACTCACGATGGAGACGGTGTGAGGCTTGTCCCGCAGAGTGCATCATCTGTTTATCCGCAGATCACTGCCTCCACTGCGGCCCAGGACACCAGCTCAGAGACAGCAAGTGCGTCCCCTTGGAGTGCAGCGCAGGTGAGAGGGCCACACACTTTGTTTACTCTCTTTGACTAACTCAACTATGTACAGCAGAGTATTTAAGTAATGTTGTATTACACATTAAGTATGAAAAATAATGCCAGTTACGTCAGTGGTATCCAACCTTCTCCCTTAAAGGTCACCTATTATTCAAAATGCACTTTTAGTTGTCTTACATACATAAATATGTGTCCCCGGGATGTAAGGAGACTCTCAAAGTGTCCGAAAATACAACCCTCTCTCTTTTCCTCCTTACCCACATCTCTAAAAACGGCGGTACAATGGAGCTGATCCAGATTTGATGGGGTCATGACGACATTACAAAAAATGTGGGCTGGCTTTACACCCACGGCACTATCAGAAACGTCGCTGTATCAGAAACAATGCCCGACTGTTTTGGAAGTAATATGGTCTGTGTTTACATTAGCAAGCATCGCTAACACTCAGAGCTAACGCTGTACTCGAGAGAGTATGTTTAAAAATGTACTCACCTTGTGGGAAACCCATGAGAGAGAAAGAGTTTGAGCTCCATACTGTTTCAGAAATAATGCTTGATGTGGCGTTTAAACACAGCAGCATTTAGCTGAGAATCTGGGTAGAATTCTCTTTCTACAGACCAAGAATCAGCGTTTCTCTAAAAGGGCTGAAATAGAGGGCATGGCTATGGGTGATCTGTATTTTGAGCAAAATACTTAATTAATAGACATTTTTTTTATATATATATGAGACCTATAATATATGCCTAAAAATAGTATAATAGGAGACCTTTAAGAGTAGGAAGTGAAGTGAGAGAGGAATGAATACATAAATAAAGGCAGACTGTAAAAAAGTTACACCTCTTAAGAACAAGCTTCGCGACCCCTGTAAATATTTTGCGACTCCTACTGCGAGTGGGAACCCAAGTTCAGCAATGTTGACTAAATAAAGATTTTGAGCATGATTTTAGCTTCTGCCACTATTCAGCGCCCAGAGCTGGGCCAAACATAATCCCAGGGAACAAACATGCAGCACAGTGACCTCATTTTAAGAATTTAAGTATTCAAATTCAAATACAAAATATGCCGAAAGAAAACATGCCAACACCCAGGGCTCTTTGGGCTTCTTTGAATTTGAGACATGGTAATATGTAGGGTTTTCCTTGCTTTTTTTATGGGGGATTTTACGCTCCTCAGGATAACAGATAGTTTGTAACATTATAAGGATCAAGTTAAGCAATCTTCATTTATTACGTGATGTCGAATGTTTGAGCTAAATACAAAACAAAAGAAAATTCAAGATTTGACAAATACAGTTATTTGTTCAACAAAAGACCCTTTACTGAATTGGTTTACTATCCACAGGCAGATTGTGAAAGTCAAACACACTTATCTCATCATATGAGATCAAATATGAAGGCCAGCCAAGAAACGCTTTAAACAAGATGTTTTGTTTTGTTTTGAGATATTTCCGATAAAGAGGAGAGGTGAAGAGAGCTCCAGCTTCACAGCATTTAATGTGAGAGGAAGTTGAAGGTTAATGATGAAAGCTTGTGTGTGAGGATATAAAATGTATGAGTGTCAGGAAGAGACTGAATTCTCCTCATATGTAGCAGGCAGGTCTCAACAGGCTTCACAGGCAGCTTTAACTCAGTATGCGTAATATATAACTACAGCTATTAATTTGACAGTTTTGCTTTTCTCTCCTTGTTCTCTTCTCTTATGTAGAGCCATGACACCACATCGATATATGTGATATTATTATAACAAATAAACATTACAAAAATAAGCTCAAAGGTAAATAGATGGGAAAGTTATTCTGAATTAAGTCAAGCACCGTAAACTGGTAGCATCATAACAATTAATGACAAAAGATGATGAGAAAGGTAACTGTGTTTTCCTGTATTGAGCAATTCACATGAACTCACGTACTTTTCACAAATGGACATATGCTGGGATTGGGACGAATTGGGATCAATAAAGTTCTATCTCATCTTATCTTATGCTATTTAATCATCATTATTTTCTTTTGTGCTTCCTTCAGGTCAGGTTGCAGATGCAGACGCAGAAGACTGTGTCCCCTGTGACGTGGGCTGCAAGCAGTGTGAACGCAGTAAGTAGCCTTCCCTCTTTCTCACTCCCCTCTTTCTCTCTTTGTAACTTTTTTCCCTTCATCATCAATCAGGTGTGGGACTAAACCAAATACACTATAGCTTCAGCAGCAGCTATACTGTATGCCACACCACAACATCTGGCAGACATAGTGACTGCCAGATGTTGTGTGTTTTCCCCATTTAAATACTTTTTATCTTAATCCTTAGGAGTGAGATACAGTTAGAGATAAGGGAAGATTGTTTACAGTACTAAATATTTTTCACAGTGTAGTTGTCAGGTGGGCTGACTGCATTTAATAATGATGCTGCCACTGATCGTTGTTGCACCTCTTTCTTTGCTCCCTTTTTTTCAATGCAGATAAATCATCCTTATTGGACTTAAATAAGTCCTAACAACTGAGATTGGTTATTAAAATACAATTTGTTTTGCAATTAATGAGCATTTTGTTTAATCTCATAAGCCTCATTTATTAGGGAAGTCATTTAGACAAACGAAAGACCATCTCTTACAGGTGCAGTGCACTTTTTGCAGGAGGAACACTTCCAGAATATTTAAATCAGAGGTAGATGTTGCCGGTAATTATTTGTCCTTTCACTGCTGTTTCCTTCCACAATGTTAAATACATATCAAAATCAATATACAGCTAAACAGGATGCTGAAAGGCATCTAAAATGGTGCTGTGATTAAGATGCGTTGTTTTTTCTTGAAAGTGTGAAATGTGAAAACGTAAGTAAGTAGGTAAATCAGTATTAAATCACCATAAATTGAATTCCGTATGCTCTCTCACCTCACCCTGTCAGAACAAGCCACATGAAGACCAGAGCACTTCCTTTTCCCAGAAACTCTTACCGACATACCATAGAAAGTTGTTGTTGTGCTGAACTAGTCTGAGGAGGAGACGGGTTATTATGTCATTATGAATTCTGGGTGGAATATCTGCCTTCACTCTCACCCCCACCGCAGCCTCCCTGCCACCCACCCTCTCTTAGTGATCACAATTCTCCAAATTAAACAAGTCAGTCAGCAGGTTAGAGATTTGCGATGGTTGGCCCTGTGACGTGATGCTGCAGGCTAAAGTGAAGAGGAAAACATGATGAAACAAATGAAACAAACATGTAGTGTCTGGAAGCTTATGAGTGCATGCTTATAATACAGTACGTCCTCACTCTGCATTTCTAAGCATGAAAGCCTGCAAAATGACTGTAAAGACATGTTTGGAATAAAGGCAGTTTTGGGTGCCACCCACATTTTGTGGGTCTAGTTTACGGTTAGGATTAAAGTGTAGTTCTTTAATTACATTTTGGTTTACATATGGTTAAAATAAAGACATACAGCATTTTGTATTTATATAAAGTTTACCACTAAATGGTATCATCATCTTTTTAGGCATGGTTTTAGAGAAATGCAACACATTTTGGTTTCAATAAGGCACCAAAACCAATAAAACTAAAAACTCTATACGTTCTCTGAGGCCAAACATTTGCACAAGAGATTTGGCTTTTGATTATTTCTTGGGCGAAATACATATGAGGTTAGGTTGACACGTTTGTGAATGGGCTGTTTTGAGTTTGTAGTTTTCTCTACCAGCAGCCCCCTCCTCAGCCCTTCATCCCCTCAAATATCTTCAGGGTTTCTTTTTAAATCATCATCAGTTATTACCCATCCTCCTTAAACATAGGATGAAGGTTTTCATCTGTCTTTTCCTGCTAACGTTATTTAGAGGGGAGCTTTCCTTCAAATGAACAGATTCATAAAGAGGGTGTCATGAGCTTATCAGATTGTAAAGCACCTTGCAATTCTGATATTGGCTACATTAAATAAATTGGCTTGACTTGGCACTGAGTAAATTAGAGAATTGCACTCATGAACTTGCCTAATACCCCAACCGTAAACCCCAGGCTGCTAAATACACCAGAATAGTTTTTATCTGAAATAAAGACCATCATTATCGATGCCCTCCTGTCACATGGCTCCATATCTTCCGCTGCAGTTTTGTGTGCTCTTCAGAGTTCATCTTTTCTCTGAACTTTACCAATCCTCTTCTCTGGGATTCTTTGCCCTTACTTATTTTATTCCTTAAAGGTGACCTATCATGCAAAATGCACTTTTTTACGTCTGTCATACATGAATATGTGTCCCCTGTGTATCAGGGAACTCACCAAGTGTCAGAAAACACAACCCTCTCTCTTTTCCTCCATACCCAAGTCTCTTAAAAAGGGGCTGCAACAGATCTGATACAGACTGATCCAGATTTGAACACTTCTGTGACGTCACAGAAGTGGCGCTATGGCTATTGGGCCAACTCCACCAATCAGGAGGAGACAGCCATGGACATTGCCGTTCGAAAGCGCTGGAGACGCTGTAGTACATATGCCAGGCCTGTAGATGGTGCTGTTCTCACAGAATCAGCCCATGCAAAGACAGTGTTAAATTGAGCGAAATGAGGAATGGCTAAAATGCATGATCTGTTTGGTATTTTGAAAAATAAAAAGTATAAATAGGCCTTGTATAGGTATGGTCCTACACTATATTATTCAAATATAGCATGATACGTCCACTTTAATTTACAACAGCTTAATATGCTTTTTTTTATTGATGAGGTAGTGTTCAAGACAAGATGATACGCACCCTGTGCAATGCAGCGTGATTTGTTGACTATATGTCTTTGTATCTGTATTAGTCATATCAATCTTCAGTTTAAAAAAATAGTCTTCGCTCTGGTTCTGTACTCTTTCTGCTCAGAGGCCGTCGGCATGCTGAAGCTCATCCCACCTCCAGCTCTCAGCGGTGCGGCTCATATCAGTGTTTGACAAAATCTGCCTTTCTCATGAATGTTTTGCTTCACTACTCTCTCACAATGCTTCTGTTATCCTCATCAGCAATCAACTCATCAAACACTTCCTGATAAACACACGTTCTCACACAGAAGCGATGATTTGTGATATTAGTATGGCGTTCATCCATTCCCACTCCTGACTGTGTAGCACTTCATATTTCTGACACTGGGTGCTAATCACCTAAATGTGTGATTGTATGCATATTCATGTACATCATATTTTGTGAAAGCCCCAGATGTAGCTTGTGAGTGCACGTTGACTAAATGTGTGTGTGAGAGCTTGCACATTCCACAAGTGCATACTCCAGGATGTGTATGCCAGTTTAAATTCTGCTGAAATCCCCCCCTCCCCTGGCTTTCACAGTTAATATTTATGCAGGAGCTATTTTCTCGCTTCACATAGACACAGCCTGGAGGCATGATTTCCGGCTCCACTGTCCCTCCCACCTTTCCTTTGTCCCAATCTCTCTCTGTATGAGTAATTGCTTTCGCAGGTAGTGGCTTGTCGACTGCATTGAAGTGCAAACCAGTGCAGTGTTAAGTTATAGGTGCTGGAAGAAGACAGAGAGAGGAATGGGGTGTGGGGGTCGATGGAGGCTTTTCTGGAGAGCATGAATGTCCCTAGGGAAAGTCTGGAGAAGGGGCTTTTTTTAGTAGTTATTTCCACCTCTCTCTCTCTCTCTCTCTCTCTCTCTCTGTCTTTCTCTATCTCGGCTCCTGTCTGATCCTATCTTTCTCTTCCTCTTGCCCCCCTTCTCGCCCCCAAAGTCCTTGGAGATGTTTTGACATCTTTGGACTATTGGATGACAAGGTGGCGCTTCCTCAGTTACCAGCTGGATGATTTTGATTGACAGCAGGAATTCATTATTTGGAAGGAAAATGAACTTCCTCCCTTGGTGTGTACCAAAACAGCCCCTCAAAAACACCTGGATTACTTATTTATATCCCTTGCATAGGTTTTCAACTCTACAATCACAGAAAACAACAACACCAACAGCAAATATGCAACTGTTTTACATAACACTTCACTCACTTTATTTGAGTTGCATACACCCACACCCAGACACAACCCAAACACACACAGTACAACAGAGCATGTGCCTTCTGACTTTTTCGTATATGAGAGAAACTACCAGTCATTATTGATGTAAACTAAAACTCTTTGACTTTTACTTAAGTTTGACCACTTCCATGTTATATTTATTTGCTAGTTCATCATTGATCACATTCACAAGGATCATTGATCCAGGAGTGTCACTCAACTCTAAAGAATCTCAACACATGTATTGTGTGTTGTCAGAGTGCCTCCTGCTGGTGTTTAAGGAAACAGTTTTTTTTAAAACAGAAACAGCCATGCTGCCTTCGCTACAGGTAGATGAGATTAATTATGGAGAGAACGTTTTGTAAGTGCAAACAGTGTGAAAAACAACTTTTTATATCTGATTTTAGCAGAAGCTACAACAACTGATATACGGCTGATACTTTAGGCTCTCTTTTGACCTGCCTTTAAGTCCAGAAATCACACAATGCTTGATCTGTTGTTAATAATTCATTTCATTTCTGCTCTTCACCACAGAGGTTTCAAAAGACAAGGCACGGGAGACTGTGTGCCTTAAATGTGAAGATGGTTACTACCAGTAAGTCTCCTAGATTGAGAGTTTCTTTGCACTCACATATTCATATGTTCTCATATTAATTGGCTAATATCTTCTGTCTGTCTGTCTGTCTGTCTGTCAGGTTAGGCTCAGACTGTCATCAGTCCTGTCCAGATCGGACCTACAGTGAGAAGGACAGCATGGTGTGTGCTCCGTGTGAAGACAAACAGTGTGTGATCTGTAACCCGTTTCTGTGCTACTGGTGTGAAGAGGGATTCTACGTCTCTGGTAAAATGTCTCAACTATTTACTATTTCGGTTTATGCTGTGAATATCAGCTGGGGATATTTCTTGGTAAACTGTGATTTGCATCGGATTTTAATCCGTGTTCCTCAGACGACAAGTGTGTGGATCACTGTAAGGAAGGTTTCTATGTGGATGAGGAGAGCCGGGAATGTGAGCCTTGTCACCGCGCCTGTCGTACCTGCGGAGGGCCACAGTATGACGACTGTGACTCCTGCGAGGAGGAACTCACCCTGAAGAACGGGGAGTGTTTAGAGAGCCGACAGCTGGCTTCCTGTCCAGAGAAACAGTTCAGAAACAGTACGGAACATTTTTATTTATCTCAGTATGCTACTAAACATTAGCTACTTGTCTTTACATGTATTTGTAAACTGTAACCAGACCAGACTTAAAAGAAAAGTACTAATGTCAACTACTGAAGCATGTATCATTAGGGTAGCCAATAATACCTCATTTATTCTAGCTTTCATCCCATGGTGGGGTCCTCCCCTCTCATTACTTTCTCTATTCCATGTCAATCATGTCTACATATGTCCTGGTTTCTGTTTGCTGTTAACCATCAGGTCAGGGTGAATGTGAGGTGTGCCACTCCTCCTGTAAGACGTGCTCTGCTGAGGGGAAGAAGGACTGCAACAGCTGCTACTCAGGTACAATCTTTCTGTCAGTATGCAACAAGACTGAGCCTCTGAAAATATAAAATGTTTACTCGGCTTGTCTTCTATGTTTTGACACAGAACTTTGCGATTTTCTTTCGCTGTCAATATGCATGAAAAGGATACTACCCTAAATGTCAGATTTTAATGAAGTATATAACAACAAAAAATACTTAAAATGTTTATGTTAAAATATGTACAGTTTGTTTTGAATATTAATAATCACATGTGTGCTGAAAACTATATGATTGCTTGAAACGTACAGTATAAAACAGTGATGTGAATAGTGTAGAGTTGTGTTTTTTGTTGTATGCTTTTGACCACAGACAGTCTTTTCTTGTACCATTTGTGTGATTTTTCCTTCTGTCCTCAGGTAGTTTTTTGACTCCTTATCAGACCTGTGTGTCCCGCTGTCCAGCTGGCACGTTTTCCAACAAGGCGTCCAGCCAGTGTGAAGACTGTGTGACAGGCTGTTTCTCGTGCCAGGACGACAAGCACTGCCAGCACTGCCGCAGGGGGCTTTTCCTCCAGGACGAAGCGTGTGTGTCGAGTTGTCAGAGGTGCATGCCCTGTTCTCACATTTCTGGGCTTACACACAATCAAAATACATCAATGTTACAATATTCTTTCCTGTTTCTGTTTAGAGGGTTTCCTCAAGATGCTGTGTGCTGGCCGTGTGCCACAGAGTGTGCGTCCTGCAGGGGGAACTCCTCTCACTGTCTGAGCTGTGAGGAACACTTCTTGCTGCTGGAGCACTCATGCAGGTCTCACTGTCTCGAGGGATATTACGCCACCGAGACAGAATGCTATCGCTGTCCAGCTCAGTGTACAGAGTGCAATCAAGATGGCCTGTGTAACAGTAAGTAAGATGAGGAGAGAATTCGAAGGGGGAGAAAAGGAAGATGTGGAGAAGAGAATTAAAGAGAGGTGCTGTTTTGAAAGGTGACATAGGAGACTAGGAGGAGAGGGAAGATGAAGAGGAAATGCAGAGAGCTCCTTCTCTGCTCGCTGGACTGCACATATTTCAGCCATGAAGCTTAGATGTGAAAGGTGAAGAGTAAAGGACATAGAGAAAATCACATGACAAGAAGGTAGTGGAATACAGGAGAGAAGAGAAAAGATTATTATAGGAAAGATAAAACAGACAAAACCAACATTAGTCAGGATCCGAGTAGTTTTAATAATAGCATCTTTGAATAAGATAAAATAAAATGTACCTTCATTAATCCCCGTGGGGAGATTCAGGAGCTTTAGCAGCCACAGAGTGAGAGCGAACGTACAGTATTCACAAAAGATCATTACAATTAAAGATAAAATGTAATTCAAAATTCAAAAATGATATATATACATATCTGAGTCCGGATTGTTAAATATATTTACATGTGATGAGATTGTTTATTAGAGCATGAGGCCTTCCCTGAGGTGGTTCATTCATGTCGACTCATTATAGGTCATAATGTCCAGTTTGCAATATTAATAATTTTTTTGTCACCGGACCATATTTTTCTATCATTGTTTTACATCAATACCAACAACACGGCTTCTTCCACTTCTTATTTCTCTTTCTCTCTCTCTCCCAGAGTGTGCCAAGTACTACTTCCTGCATAAGGATAAGTGTGAGGATGATTGTCCCAATGGCTTCTTTGCCAGCGAGGTGTCACAGGAGTGTATACGTTGCCATGCCGATTGTGCCTCTTGTGACGGACCGGATTTTGATGACTGTGATGTGTGCATCAACCCGAAAGCTGTGCGCCACAACGGAGAGTGTCGGGTTAATTGTCCAGACAACACTTACTATGATGCCACTACCAATGAATGCAGAGGTAGGGACGTTGGAAATGTTTTTAATAATGCTAAATAGATGAAAATACTACTCTATTCAATTAAAGATATATAGCTCTCCTTCTCCCCAGATTGTGACAGGTCATGTCTAACCTGCTCAGGCCATGAGCCTTCATCCTGCCTCAGCTGCAAAACCAACATGAGGAAAGATGCCAGCGGACACTGTGTGGGGTTCATGCAGTGCCCTCTGACCTCATACCTGGACCATAAAAAGGAGTGCCAAAAGTGTCACAAACTGTGTCACCGCTGTTCAGGGCCGGACAATAACCACTGCCTCAGCTGCAGCGAGACACACTTCCTCCTGAGTAAGTAGTTTCAATGATAAATGTTGTGCTTGTTGTCCAGCAAAGGGGATCTTCTCCTTCTTAAAATGTTAACTTTGTGTCCATCAGACAAGACGTGTGTGCAGGACTGTCCTGTGGGTTACTATGCAGAGGATAGGGACGAACGTGTGTGTGAGCGCTGCCACTTCAGCTGCAAGTCCTGTGTGGGCCGTCACAGTGTGCAGTGCAACGACTGTAAATCTGGATTCTTCAAGCAGGGCAGCAACTGCGTGGAAACCTGCTCAGAGAGGTTAGAAGAACAAACTGAAATACAGTCTCCTTTTAAAATGTTCCTTTAAATAACATCATCAACTAAACAGATTCCTTCTCTCCTTTTCAGTCACTTTGGCAACACCACCACCATGGCTTGTGAGCGATGTGACCCCTCGTGTACCCAGTGTTGGGGTCGTGGAAACAGAAACTGTCTGGACTGTCGGGAAGGCTACGTCTACCTGAGGCAGTTCGGGCATTGCCTGAAGAGCTGCCCTTTAAACTACTACCAACACAGCCGGTCTAAAACCTGTCACAAGTGTCACCCCACCTGCAAGACCTGCAGCGGTAAAGGAAGCCTGTCTTGGCCTGTTCCTGCCATGTGTTTTTTTTCTCTTTCGGTATCTTTTTTTATCCTCAGAAACACGGAGAACACAATGTTACACTGTACACATAATATTTATTTACATTATTCCACCTGAATTATTTCCACCATCCAGTTCCCACTGCCAAACACAGGACAATTCACAGACGACCAATAACAGTAACAAACTAAATCAATGAAATGCAGGAGGGTATTTGGGAAAGAAAAGTAGAAAATATATTCGAGGAATCAATAGATTGAGTCTTTCATTTATAAACTATTGTTCTGTTGGACCCCAAGTGGATTTTACTTTCTCAGGATGCCCCCCAAAGGAAAGATTTTCTCCAATTTTAGAATTTACACCAGGTTCTGCATAGAGAAAAGTTGGGGGATGTTGTGACTCCTACAGTACGTGCCAAAAGATAAAACAATTATGTTTATTTTTTTAATTCTATCTCTGTCCCCCTGAACACCAAAGATGCAGATCCCTGCGCTTTATAGATTAAGAAAGTCTATTCAACTTTGAATGTTGTATCCCAGTAACTTGTTACTAACAATCTGCTGGTTAATTGCAGCTATTCATTTGAGTCTCAAATGTTTGGAGTGAGGATAATTTTGGTGATGCAGTACAGCCACTGTGTTCTTGTGTGTGATAATTGAGCATTAATTGTTGTGTAGAAGTTTCCTAAACCCCTAACAGCCAGGACACACCGGAACAATTTCTTTGGTATAATATGTGTTATCAGAATAAATGTCTTATCTATCACATTTTCCCCTGAAGCTATACTGATGTCAGCTGCTCCTTTGTACATGCTTTTTTAATCTGAAAATTCCCCTTCAACCATATGAGAACATTTGACAGTATTTCCTGTTGTGTGATCCCTCTCTAACTTTCTAACTCTCTTTCTCTGTGTCCCTCTCCTTCCAGATGAGGGTGCTCTTGCCTGTCAGTCCTGCTATGAAGGCTACACGTTTATGGGAGGCATCTGTGCATCTCAGTGTCTTTTAGGCTTCTACGTTGCTCCACAGGTGACAGCAGCGTGACTGTTATATCATATAGTGTTTGTTATTTATTATTCAGCTAACCATCACAATGGCCTGAGAATAAAGTGATAGCTGCAGTTTACCCAAGGCTGCTTTGTACTGTAAGTCATGAAGCAGTAGTAAGAGATTAAATGAAAATGACTCAGAGTTCATATGTTGCTCTAGGCGGGGTCTGATCCCAAGAGCAATGAGCCAAACTGCCAGGCATGTGACCCATCCTGCCTGGACTGCCGCGGTCCCGGCGCGTGGAGCTGCACAGTGTGTCCCGCACTCCAGATCCTGTCTGAAGATGGCCGCTGCTTGTCCTGCTGTGGAAATGAGACCCACCATGACAACAAACCAATACCCTGGGAGTGCTGTGACTGCAAGGCCTCACAAGGTAAACACGAACGTTCCAACAAAACACACACAGATCCAAACTGTGTTGAGTCTTGTTCCTGGAATATAGTTAGCGTGTGTGTGTGCGTCATCAGTCACATTCTATCAGGGCATCTGTAATTTGAAATGGTTACCCTGTATAATTCATGTAATCGGTGACCTTCCCACTGTGTAAACACGAGTTATATCTTCCTGCCTAACAGGGGTTTCCTGTATTTGATAATCATGGAAAATATGTTCCTATTTGAAGTAATTTCCCCAGCTCTTTTGGCCTCTAGCAATCACAAACAACCCTGCATTCCAGCAAAACAAGAGCAAACACACTTGTGCTAGAGAGGGATTCATCAAAAACACATACCCAGTATACAAATCACATTTGTAACCTAATTGTGTGCTTCATCTCCTTCTTCTCAGTGGAGTGCATCAAGGGTGTCAACTTTGTTTTGAAGGAAGCAGAAGAGTTACAGGCTCAGGGCAGCACTGCCAAACTCTTTGTCACTGTCTGTGTTCTTATTATCCTCTCTGTGGGCGGAGGGGTCTTCCTCTTCCTCAACGCACGATCTAAAACACTCGCCATCATACCCAAAACCAAAGCTGGAGGCTATGAGAAACTGGACACCCAAGTAGGCATTGCCTCACAACCCACCACCTCTTCCTATGGGGAGTACAATGACCGAATCGTTGGATGCGAGGGTGACGAGGAAGACAACGAAGATGATGAGGATATTGTGTACATGGGACAAGATGGGACAGTGTACCGGAAGTTCAAGTACGGACTCTTGGATGAAGATGAGATTGAGTTAGAGTATGATGATGAGAGCTACCAATACAAATGAAAAGAGGACACAAAAGACTGGAGAGAAGTGGCTCCTCCTTTAAATCGTTTTTCACCATGCCTGTATTTAATCATTTTATTTTAAAGTTGGAAATCTTCATATGACGTTAGCTCAATCAGCAGTAAGAGGAGACGTGGTTGAGGGAGGGTTACAAGCACACATCAATGCTTTTCAATAGCTTTACATTTCAAAGACATTTAAGTTATATTAGCTATTTACCAATGAATATGGGACATAATAAAACATGTATAATGACTGGAACAGAAATTCTATCTAATCAACATAATTCAACCTAATGATTTGATTGGAAAGAGGAATTAGATTTATTTTCAGAACCTCAGGCGTGCTGACAATCTTATTCATTTCATGCTTTTGTTTACATTTTTTTTTTTAGAATAAATAATTATATTTGAAGAAAATATTGTATATGTACACAATAGTTATTGTCCGCTAATATTGCTTAATATTAAGACAACCTTTCTCAATTATACATTCAAATTAGTAAAAATGTGCAGAGCTAGATTTAAATAAACAAAACTTTGATTTTTGAAAGATAAAACGTCACACATTATTTCTTCATTACAAATGTTAGTCTATGTTATTAACAACACAGTTTACTTGGGAACATAAATGTGAAATACGTTATCTAGTTTAAAGCTTTCATTGAGTCACAGTTGTAACTTTAGAGTTGTTGTTTGATTTTGTAACCTGGAATGTGTATCGCACTGCAGGAGGCAGCTCATAATTCAAAGAAAACTTTACACAAAAGCACCATTTGATCTGTAACCTTGCACTGTTTGGATGGGTTCAGGTTAGTTTACAAAGAGAGCAAACACTTTCTCAGGGGTTTTTATCTTGTTTAGGCCTCAGTCAATCCTGGCATCTGCTTGTCTGTGTGTGCTTCCAGATTACTGCTAAAAACATTGAAGAAGCTTGCAGTAGAAATTATTTTTGCAGGACTTTTCCCTCAAAGATATTTTAGCTTAGGTTTGTGCATTTGCCTTTAATGGCTGTCTCCCTGAGATAATAACAGGTCTTCATCTCACCCACCCACCCAGTGTGTGAAGAGTAAATAACTAGGATTATTTCTCTGTGCTTGGTTGAGGTGAAATGTGAATTGTTCTTTCATAATAAAGTTGGATTTTAAGTTTGGTTAAGAGTGTGCATTTTCATTATATTGTCTGCTGTTGTACAGAGGTGAGTTCAGGTGCATGCAGTTAGCTGTTCCCTTTTATGGTTGAGCTTAGTACACTAATATGGTTGCATTTGAGACTTGGTCCTTATTAAACTGGTTCCTTATCTGTGTCACATGTCACATGGGGGTTTTATCAGATCACATTTCCATTGTTGTCTATTTAATGTTAAGAACTGTATTCTCACACAAACCTAAAATGAAGGCACTCAAGTTATAAGTCTTAACGTGTTACCAAAAGACAGATTGTAAGGTTCCAAGTTGTGATCTAATTCATAAGCTTCATGATCAACCTTCATGGCTTTTGGTACTATGACCTTTATTCTAAGCAGGTTGAGTCCAGAGTCTTATCTGATACCAGACTAACAAATAGACACAACGTTGACTCAGGAACATCTGCCACGGTACCTCCCTCCCCATTGAGTGTTTTACGTTGGCAATGGCCTTCATTTCTTGAGCCATAACATGTTAAATGCTTTGGACTGAAATGTCAGTAAAAACAGTAAAAGGGAAACTTGAAGAATCAGCTCTTAAATGAAATTACAGGAACATATGTTTTACTGTAAACACCAACTTCCTTTTAGCTTGTGCTGTAAATATCACATTTCTACAAACGGGACCCTTAAGGAGTCGAAGGACTTGCTTATCTTCTAGTTTTTTAATACACAGTAGTTTAAAGAGGGAGCAGCAGGGGAGAATATAAATATAGGGGGGTTGTATATTGTATAATTTGTATTAAATTGTTCAAATACAACTAAATCTGTGGATAAGAAGAAATTAGCAGCATTTAGCTGGGCATTAGGCAATGGTGTCAGTCACATCATTATGACTTGGCTGCCAAAACAACAAATGCAGTATGCAAGAAAACACAGTACCCCTGGCGCATGTGTACTAACTAGAGCAGTGGTTCTCAACTGGTCAGACCTCGGGACCCACTTTTTACTTGGTCAATACATCGCAACCCAACATTTTGAAGCACCCAAATCTATTCAACAAAAAATCGTGCTGTAATATATACGCTTCTCAGCATACAATATTAATAAAAGCGAAGTACAGTGCATATATCCCTTATATCCCTTCACAGAACTAAAGTATGCTTTAAAAAAGGTTTAATGAGATGATGGAATCAAAGCTGAAATGTATAAAAAGGCACACATGCTGAAAACCCAACCCCAGCAGGGGGTCTGGGGGGATTCTCCCCCAGGAGATTTTTAGAAATACTAACATAAACTATGCATTCTGGTACACTCTGAGAAGAAAATAAATACTATTTATTTTCTTCTCAGAGTGTACCAGAATGCATAGTTTATGTTAGTATTTCTAAAAATCTCCTGGGGGAGAATCCCCCCAGACCCCCTGCTGGGGTTNTGACGCTCAAAGGTCCCTTATTATTGTTTTGTCCTTTTTGAAGAGTGTTTAATGTATGCTTGAACTTTGTTTTATTTTGTAAAAATGACAAGAGTTGTCTTTCCGGAAGTCATGTGACCTCTTGCCCCGGATGTTTATATTGTGTTTGTGTGCGGTAAAAGTGTCAACGATGTGATAACGTAATCCTACTGCTGGTCTACTATGGCGTTATATTTGTGCCTCTATCCTGAGCACGCAATGAAACATGTTGAGCATAGAAAATAAGATTGAGCGCACACTTG